GTCTGTCTGTTTCGTCTGTCTGTCTGTCTGTTTCGTCTGTCTGTCTGTCTGTCTGTCTGTTTCGTCTGTCTGTCTGTCTGTTTCGTCTGTCTGTCTGTCTGTCTGTCTGTCTGTTTCTGTCTGTCTGTCTGTCTGTCTGTCTGTCTGTCTGTCTGTCTGTCTGTCTGTCTATTTTCAAAAAGAAGAAATGGGAATGAGACAGAAAAACATGAGTAAGCATTTTATTACAAACTGAAGTATGCTGTTCATCATCAGCTGATCAACAAAAGAAAAGTCGCAGGACAAAGTGGGAATGTGACTGGGGGAAGACACTGAACTGGTTTACAGATGGTAGAGGTGTCATGTGATCTAAATCAGTGGCTCCCAAACTTTTCAGCTTTTGACCTACAACATACCAGCAGCAGAGACCTGTGCCCCCAGCTGTTGTCGCTTGATAAACATTGTTTTCACATCAAATAAACAAGAGCATATAACATTATGTATTATGCTATTTTTGTCCATTTTAAGTACACTAATGTTATTATTTTGTGAAAACAAAGGCAAAAAATGTTGTTAGTTGTCTGTTTTTAGTGTAATGAATTCAGAAAATATTTTCAGTACCCCACCTTGATGTTTCAGGACCCCATGGGTCCCGACCTGAACTTTGGGAACCACTGATCTAAATCACTGATCATTAGACACAATAAAATGATTTATTTGTATTATCTTTGTAGAGATCTAGAACAGTGCTGTATCAGTGTGTGTGGTTGAGTAAATAAGGGCACAGACTTTGTTAGGCAAAAAAAAAAAGTGCAGTTACAGTTCATTCTCCATTTAACATTTCCTTTTTTTTTCAGCCCTCTCCTGCTTCAAGTGAAAAGTTTAAAAGAAGATTTTCAGAAAGGTAAGCAGCTTATATGATAGAAAAATCACTGATACTAACATTAAACAGAAATTGTGTTTCTGTCTTTGCAGAACTTTGTTACTGCGTAATCATAGGATGAAGTAGCAGAACATAGAGCAGGGACAAAATTAAGCAGCTTTTATGCACAGTTACATTTTTTAAGAAAGATGTTATGTTTTTGTTGTCATTACGCTGTGTTCACACGTCTGAAATTAGTTTTACAGGAACAATTTATGGTTTTCTCTTCTTATTTATTAATCCTGTCACCATATAGCGTGGTATATACTATAGGAAAACATCACTAAATCGCAGTGTGACGACATGAGCTGAAAAATTCACGACAATCTCTTCATAACTATTTGAGAAATACCATGCACAGATGGTCAGATGGACCAATGCAACTGAAAACATAACTTCCTTTATGGAGACGATGGGGGGGACAAACTCACAAATTTAACACGCAAACTACAACTAATGGTGCGTTCACACCGAACGCGATTTCAGCGTCAAAATCGCAGCCAACGCTGAAGTTTGAAGCTTGTGCACTTTGAGGTCAGACGCAGGACAGCTGCGCTGCACGGCAGAGCCTCCCCGCCCTCCTCTGTGGGGCTGTTTAATGTCGGACGAGGAAGTGGCTTTGCTTTATTTACAGAGAGCCAGAG